CTCGAAGGGCTAAGAAATGTCATATCCTGCCCAAGCCGGTTTGACTCAGTGGATATAGAATGGGCCTAGGTTTGATTCTGATCTAGAGCATGTACCTAGGTTGCAGACTCTTCCCTGGCCAGGGCCCAGGTCAGGCCTCATGCAGGAGGCAACCAATCGAAGTGTCCATCTCACACTGATGTTTCTCTGACTTTTCCTCTCTCTTCCACACTCTCTAAAAATGGAAAAATATCCTCAGATGAGGATAAAAAAAGAAAGAAAGAAATGTCATATCCTATGAAAGAGACATCTTGAAAATGCCTAAAGAAAGTTGTCATTTTTTTGTGGTGAATGGACTGGAGTCCATATTGATGAAAACACCTTAGCAGCTGGCAGTGGCAGTAGCAGCGGGGTGATGGGGGTGGCGCCTTCCCCTCATAAGCCCGCAGAGGGAGGCCAGACTGTGTATTAGGCCTAAGCCCTCAGTAGGACATCCCCTGAGGGCTCCCGGACTGTGAGAGGAATCAGTCTGGGCTGAGGGATCCCCCTCCCCCACAACTGCATGAATTTCATGCACCAGGCCTCTAGCATGTATCTAAAAGCCTAATATGCTAAGTGTCTGACCAAGAGGTCGACCAATCGACCAGTTGCTATGATGCAAACTGACCACCAGGGGTAGACACTCTGGCCAGTAGGTTAGCTTGATGCTGGGGTCTGGCTGATTGGGACATTAGTGAGACAGGGCCAACATGCCCTGGAGCCCTCCTGTAGTTCCTTACCAGTGGCCAACCTCTCGCAGGGACTGGGCGAGGCCACCTGGATGGTCCCGATCGCCAGCCAGGCAGAAGGACCTCAACTGTGCATGAATTTGTGCACCAGGCCTCTACTTAATGTATAGTTCTTTTTTTAAAAAAAGTATATTGATTTTTACAGAGAGGAAGGGAGAGGGATAGAGAGTTAGAAACATCGACCAGCTGCCTCCTGCACACCCCCTACTGGGGATGTGCACGCAACCTAGGTACATGCCCTTGACTAGAATCGAACCTGGGACCTTTCAGTCCACAGGCCGATGCTCTATCCACTGAGCCAAACCGGTTAAGGCTGTATAATTCTTTATATGACTAGAAGTTTCATTTACCTTTACCAAAAATTCAGTGCCTAATCTGAGTTGGTTTGTATTTGAATGTTTAAATTTACAAAAATTAACATTTTGTGATCTAAACTGAATATACCATCATGGATTCTGTAGTTCACTTGCTGGGGTGTGATCCCATGCATAGTAGGATTACTAGTTCAATTATTGGGCTTGTGCCTGGGTTATATGCTAGCTCCCCAGAATGGGGTGTGGAGGAGTCAGCTGGTCAATGTTTCACTCTCAAATCGTGTTTCTCTTCCTCTCCCTTTTTCTCTCTCCAAATATTAATAAAATTGCCTGTCTGGTGTAGCTCATTCATTGAGCTTTGACCTATGAACCACATAGTCATGGTTCCAAGTCAGAGCACATTTCCAAGTTGCCAGCTCAAATCCCAGTTAAGGCAGCCAATTAATGATTCTCTCTCATCACTGGTACTTCTTTCTATTTCTCTAAAAAGTCAATAAATATATATTTTTAAAAATTAATAAAATGTTCTTTAGAAATAAACTGATTGTACATTTTTCCACCAGTGTGTAAGGTGTTCACATTCTACACAGTCTAGAAATTAAACATATTCTGTAATTTTGTCATTCTACCTCACTGTTGTTTGATTGTATTTTTTCTAAGAATAAGTCAGAAGTTTGTTGTTCTTGTTTGTTTGTTTTTATAAATCCTCAACTGAGGATACTTTTTCTATTGATTTTTAAATTTTTTATGTATTTATTTATTTTTAATTGATATCAGAGGAAGTGAGAGATACGCACATCAATGATGAGAGAGAATCATGCATGGGCGGTCTCTTGTACTCTCCCTACTGGGAATGCAGCCCAGAACCCAGGCATGTGCCCTTTGCCTGAATCAAACCCAGGATCCTTCAGTCCCCAAGCAGATACTCTATTCACTGAGCCAAACCAGGTAGGGCCCGGTGTCAGAACTTTCCCGAGAATGTCAGACCATTGCTGTGATCATTCTTCCAGTTTCAGTGTGCTGGAGGTTAGTTTCATTTAGACGTTATTTCTAGCCCTAGCCCATTTTAGATTTTTTTCAACTCCTCTGCTACATTACTTAGTTTTAATGCTTTATGACATGTTCCAATAGGGCTTATACTTCACTGTGTTTTTTGCTCTGAATTTTTAAAAGTAGATTTTTTTTAAAATATATTTTATTGATTTTTTACAGAGAGGAAGGGAGAGAGATAGAGAGTTAGAAACATCGATCAGCTGCCTCCTGCACATCCCCCACTGGGGAAGTGCCCGCAACCCAGGTACATGCCCTTGACCGGAATCGACCCCGGGACCCTTCAGTCCGCAGGCCGATGCTCTATCCACTGAGCCAAACCGGTCCCGGCTTTTAAAAGTAGATTTTTATTGATTTCAGAGAGGAAGGGAGAGGGAGAGAGTGATAGAGACATCGATGAGGAGAGGGAATCATTGATCAGCGGCCTCCTGCACTTGGACCTCCCCTCCCCCGCCCCACTTCGGATCAAACCTATACCTCAGGCTTTTGCCCAAAACAGGAATCAAACCCTGATCTCCTCTTTCATAAGTTGATGCTCGTACAGTAAGCCACACCAGGCAGACTTGGCTCTAAATTTTAAGTAGTACAAGCTTCTTACCCTTCTTAAGAATTATGAATTTTTAAGATTCACTGCATTTATGCAAACCCATCATTATTTGTTTATAATATTTAATGTGGTTTTAGAGTTTTGGAGCTATATATACATAGGTCAGCGTTCAGTATGAATATGTATTTCATTTACTCTAAGTATAATTTGTGAGTATTTGTGTAATCTTATCATATTGAGAATGCCTGAAACATCAACTCCACTGACATCTTCAATATGTCCATAAGGGACGAATTATCTTTCACTATGATCATTACAGTGGCATCTTCACATTAACAAAAACGCCAGTTACTTTGCCAGAATTCAAGTCTCCCAAAAGTGTATTTATCTCTATTGATGTTCAAGTAAAAGTTAAACAAGAGTTCGATTTAAAGTTTATATTATGCATGCTAGTTCTTCTTTACTTCAAAGGTATGGCCCTAACCGGTTTGGCTCAGTGGATAGAGCGTTGGCCTGTGGACTGAGGGGTCCCAGGTTCGATTCTGGTCAAGGGCATGTACCTTGGTTGCGGGTACATTTTTAAAAAAATAAATAAAAAATAAAGGTATGTCCTACATTCTATTCCCCCACCACCACCACACCCCCCGGCCTTGCTCAATTGAGCTCAGCACAGGTGCATTCACATCGCTATACATGGTCTCTCCGCCTCATAACCCTGAACCCTACAGCCTGGGTTCAGGGCGCCTGTCACTTCCCGCAACTCAGGTCCCTGTCAAGGACCCTGAGGAAGGTGGAGGGGAGAGAGGAGTGTTGTGGCTTCTGAGGACAAAGGAAATGCAGGGAAGAGTAGAGTAGACAGGGGTTACCTGTATCTGAAATTCCGCTGAGGATGTGGATGGTGAGTATTGAAACCAAGATCAGAGACAGGCATGGAAGATTTCAGAGCTGCATGCCCTGCCTTCCCCAGGCTGTGGGGTCCACCAGGAATTGGGTTATGGTAGATCCATCTGAACCCTCACAAGCTCTCTCTGGGTGCCATGTGCCAAGTTCATGGGAGAGTCCAAAGAGGTCCTGTGCTGTGGAGCAGGAAGGTGGCAGAGCTGAGGCAGTGAACCTGGAGTCTGAAGTTGGGATGGGGTAGACATTACACAGTGGTGTGCACATCTGGAGGAAGTGAGCTGATGGTCCTGGAGACCTTGTATCGGGACTTTTAAAAAATATATTTTTTTATTCATTTAAGAGAGGAAGAGTGAGAGAGAGAGACACAACAAGGATGAGAGAGAATCATCCATAAGCTGCCTTCTGCACACCCCCTACTGGGTATGGAGTCTGCAACCAGGGCTTGGGCCCTTGATTAGAATCCAACCGGGATCCTTCAGTCCACAGGCCAATGCTCTATCCACTGAGCCAAACCAGCTAGAACTGGTGTTGGGACTATAGGGTGAAGCATAAACCCAGGTTTGTCTTTGTCTGGGAGGCATGATCTGGGAGACTGCAGTGGTATTGCTTGGCAGGAAGGCTGACGCCCTACAGGCATTGCCCAGAGCTTAGATGGTGTTTCTCTGCTGTCCTTTCTATCCCATCTGTTGTTGCCAAGGGCAATAACAGTGATTAATGGGACTGTGATGAGAGAGCAGCCTGCACTGGCATTAGGGTGTGGTGTCCACACTAAACTGGGGAGATCTGGAGGGGGTTGAGGGTGGGGAAGATACCTAATTGTTGTTTGAATTTTCATCTCTCTGATGATCAGTCACTTAGAGCATTTTGTCACCTGTCTCTTGGCCATCTTATCCACACTGCAGCCCCGGCAGAGCTGCACTTCGGATGGCATCAGAAGCAGATGCCTTTAAAGTATGAGTGTCTGTTCTGTGACATTAACTTTGTATAATGGAGTCAATAGAGGCAGGTAGAAGCAGTTAGAGACTTGAGCCACCTCCCCCAGCTACATATGGCCTGATGGAGACACATGCCAAAAGTCCTGAATGAAGAAACAGTGCCTGCCATTCAGAAAAGAGCTGGTCCTGAAGAAAGATATGCAAAACCCGCAACTAAAGGAAGCCACGCAGGCGCCTCAGAAACAAACTTTCCCTGATAATCCCCTCCCCTGACGGCGCTGGAGGGCCCTGAGTATACTTGGTGTGTTCTTCTGCTATTTGCACTCAAAACCAGTCCTGGAGTCAGTTGAGGAAATACAAGATCCTGGCCAGGGAGCGTAGGAACTACATTACCCAGAAGGCCGGGCGTGGAATGCCACCAGGCTGAGCCAATGGAAGCTCAGAAAAGGCGTTTCCGTTTTTCCAGTTCTGGAGGGCGGGACCGGTAGTCCTGGTCGGATTTTGTCTTCTGTCTGTTTCGTCTGGCGGCTGGGGTCAGGAGTTCCTGGTCGCAGAGTGCCGTGGAGAAGGCGGGAGAGTGGTGTTCTCTGCCTCACAGCCCGTGGTGGGAGCCTGCAGGGGTGCGCACAGCTCACACGCGAGATTTAAGCGCCAGGCCTCGGACGGGACCGCCATTCCTGAGCGGCTGCTCCCTCTGCTCCCGCCCGGCTCAGCCCACAGAGGACAATGGCGGCGCCCCCGCTGAGGAGACGGGCTGAGGTGAGTTCGAGTCCCCCAGGCCCGCACCGCTTCCTCACACAGACACGACAGCCTGGGGACTGTATTTTTCTATCAAATGTGTTTGTGTCCCGTCATGAGATTGAGCGCCTGTCCCGTCCTGCACTTCAGTCCCGCGTGGAGGACCGTGAGGAAGGCGGAGGGGGGAGAGGAGTGTTGTGGCTTCTGAGGACACAACAAGTGCAGGGCAGAGAGGACGGGGGTGACTCGCATCTGAGAGTCCCTGAGGAGGTGTGGGGACTTAAAGTGAAGCATAAACGGACCCTTGTCTTTGTCTTGGAGGCAGGATCTAGGAGACTGCAGTGGTGTTGCTTGGCAGGAACGCTGGGCCCTGCAGGCATCGCCCAGACCTTAAATGGCATTGCTCTCTACCCTACCCTCCCCCAATGCTTCCCACCCAACCCAGCTGCTCTGCTGAGGGCCATCACAGTGAGTAATGGGACTGTGATGAGAGAGCAGCCTGCACTGGCATTAGGGCCTGGTGTCCACACTAACCAGGGGCCTTGGAGGAGGTTGAGGGGGGGAAGTTGTGTAAGGAGTAGGAATGCAGCTTATCAGAGAGACAGCTCTGGTTTCAATTGTCTCCATTCTAACAGGTTGGCGTGACATTTGAGGACATTGCCCTGTACTTCTCCAGGGAGGAATGGAGCCTCCTTGATGAGGGTCAGAGACAGCTGTACCTGAATGTGATGCTGGAGAACTTTGAACTTACATCCTCCCTGGGTAAGACCCTCACTCTCAACAGTGACCTGGACTTGGCTTTGCCATTTCCCAGGCCCCATCGCCCAAGGTGTGCTCGGTCCTCCCATGTAGACTGTGGTACTGCTTGATTTTTCCACTTTTCTGTGTAGTTGCTGTCCTGGGAAGGGTTGGTCTGTTTCTCCTGCTCCCTTCTATTCCTGAAGTCCCAATACTTCCCGCTCCACTAAATTACCAGGGAAGGACTTGTGGTTGGTAATGTTACAGGAAGGTAAGGGATTCCACCTAGATCAGTGAGGAAAGCATTTTCTATATTCCTGTTGGTCATTTGTACATATTTTTTGAAGAATTGTCTCTACATCCTTATCGTGTTTATTAACTATTTTTGGTTAAAGAGTGTTCTAACTACCCTGTATATTTTATATATTAATTGCTTATTACATACAGGAGCACATATTTTTGCATG